TAATTTTTTTCTTAATTTTATTTTTCACAAATTACTTAGATACAGACTATTATCTAAATCATTACTTGAATAAGAAAGACAAATTATATTATTTGCAGAAACATAAAAGCAGTACACATTTCAGAAAACTAAATAAAATCTGAAAGCGTATAAATTTGCAAATAATTAAAGTACAGATACTTAAACTGGAAGCATATATTTTTAGAAATAAACTTTTAACCTCGAGGCCTGTGCAAACACAGTTTCCTTAAGATAAATTCGCCACCTCATCGTAGTGTTAGAGGTTTAGTTTGAGCACTTGTCTCCCAAGATACAACGGTAACCAGCAGAATTCGAGCACCGCGGTTCTACTTCGATGAACTGTGCGAGTGTTCGAACAATATGACCTTACTGGAATGGACACAGGAGGAGACAGAACAAAAACAGAAAACTAGAACTGTACGAAGCAGACGAAAATTGCAGTTTATAAACTGCTGGAAATTGAGTGAAATTATACAGACTGAATCTGACCATTAGTTTCTGCATTAACCATTGTAGTTTTCGGAGTTACACTTCGATTTCGACCATTGGAGTTTTAGGAGTTTCAAACACTCAAAATTCATTTGGAAAAATCACAAAAAATTGCAAAACGTAGATAATCCAAATTGGCCAGTTTTTGCTCCGTTCGATCCGACATTCGTGTTCGCACCCAAGTTCAAAGTCATTTGGAAAAACCACAAAAAAATTGTAAAACGCGTACAATCCAAACTAACCAGTTTTTGTTCCGACATTCGTGTGCACAGGTCGCGTTTGCACTCAAGTTCAAGGTCCGAAAGCTATTTTTGTTCGTGGTTTTCACCCCCCCTGTACGCACACGTGGAGAGAGCCTTTATGCTACACATGATCACACAATTCCAATGCATAGCCATATATAAAGTGGTTTTGGTTTCTATATTTTTCCTATGTGTGACAAAGTTAACTATAGTTTTCCCACCAACATAAATCATTTTCGATGGTCCACTTTAAATTCCAATTTCTCATTCACCCGAGCTTCGTTTTTCGCAAAATACATGACTTCGATGTTCTCGCGGAGGAGAACACATATCAACTTTCATATTCCAAATTGGACCAACGGGTTCCGCCGAAAATTGTGCCAAAAGTGAGCCACTCACTTATTTTTTCCAACGATGTCTGTACAGTAGCTCATCACTGTTTCACAAAAATATGACAAAAGGATAATTACCAAATATCATTTGAGCTATGTCTTGGCTGAAAAGGATGATTGCAATTATTTGTTTTCTTTCATGTCCTCCATCCACCACGAGACCCTCAAGTTATTTCTCTATTAGTTAGTTGGATTTCTTCGCCGTTTTACAGATAATTGGAAGCGCTTGCTTCTGTATTTATAAGATGATTATTGGAGGTTATTGACTTGCTGTTGAGAATAAAACCTTAACGACGGCCGCCATTGTGGTCTGCTACCTCACACATGGTCATCTGCCCAGGTAAAATAAATGGTACAGTTAATTAGTTAAGTTTATTTGGCTATTGGTTAATTTCTCTTTGTTCATTGGAGTTCTGATTAGATAACATAAGATCAAATATAAATTTTGTGAAATTATTTATAGGAAAAGAGAATGATAATAGCATTTAACAGTTCAAAATATTGTTTAAATTCCAAACAAATTGACATCTTAACTTGTATGCTATGGAGATATTATACAAGTACTCAGGTTGTTTATTACATAAGGCAGATGCAATTTGCATCTATAGAAATGGGCAGAAATTCTGGAAAACTTGTGAACTCTAATTTAACTCTCCAATCAATAATATGACATGCCGTAGTGGTTAAAAAAAATTGTATGTTTAAGGGAAAAAACATGTACACACACACACACACACACACAATATTTCATATCTGACTTTCTGAAATGAAAATGGTCATATGGAAAAAAATTTTACATTGTTTAATAAATAAAAACTGGTACAGCAAAGGAGTCGTGAATTTAGAATAGATGATAAAATGAATGACTTGATTTACCCATGAGAAATGATCTTGTGCTAATTATAATTAGAATTATCCCCTTATTTCCTTCTATGTACTTAGTACTTATATTTCTTTTTTAATTCAATGGGAACATTTGATTGATGGTAACTTCTAGTGTAAGTTGAAAATATTTGAAGATTATGCCCAGCAAATTAAACAGATAGTGGACAAGTTCTGAATGCTAAGATTTTCATTAACCGTCCTTTTGATAATACTGATTTAAAGAACCGAATCTTGTTTATGAGGAAGAAGGTTTGGCCAAATCAATTCTGAGTAATGGAATGTGACTATCTTTTACATTGAAATATGACATTTATATGTAATATATTTGGTGTAAAATTGTTTTCTATTGGTAATGGATTGAAGGTCAAAGAGGGTACAAAATATGAGTCCTATGGCCATCTTGGTATGCATAAAAAATTAAAATTGAGAAATGAGAAAGAAGGATAATCACATGGTACCAGATATATGGTTATATATGTTGCTAGCATCAATTTCATATGTTGCTAGCATCAATTTCATAATTAATCTGCATAATTTTATTTATAGCCAAGACTAATCCATGTGATTAATAGTGATTTTATTGAAATTTGTAACTTATAAAAAGTTTCGACTTCGAAATTATAGTTTTTATTCCTTAAAATTTCAGTTTCAATTTTTAAAATACATATTTAATACAAAACTTAAACAATAGGATGTAGGTTATGTATGGATTAATTTTCATTATTGTGGGGTTTTTTTTTTTTTTTTTTTTTTTTTTTTTTTTTTCAAGTGGCTATTGCTTTCAATGAAGAAATATATTAAGATGTGATCCCCTGCGCACATGTACTGAAGTGTCAAAATTGGCATATATTTTTACTTTGGTCATAAGTGTAATGTATGGGTACTTGAAATTATAAGAATATTTAATACTGTCTCTTAGCATATTCCAGTTAATTGCCCTTAAGCATTAGATGTGGACTTTTTAGGTTTTACTTTATTTGGAAAAGAAACACTTGATGATGAAAATAATATTTTGCTAATGTGTTTAATAAGAATTTGTGGATTGATTAGTGAATGAAAATCATAAAAGTGTGGGAATCATGTGCATAACCATCTCCACGCGATGTTGGATCATATCAAAATAGATAAATTGTAAGATCGTATACTCACACTATTCAAGTTGGATATCCTTGAAATGTGGGGGTATTAAACTATTTAATATAGTTTTCATTTCTTTGGTAAGTGGTCGAAGAAAAATTGGATGAATATTGACTTTTGTTTAAGTCTATCTAAGTTATTCTCATATATTGTGACACTAATATTTTGTGAAATGTTTAGAAGTGTTTCTAGGCATGGAACATTTTCAAAGAAGCTCCACACGATGGATATCTTCAGAATATGGAAGTCAGATACAAGAGTTGAATGGATGCACATGTTCAAACATGTGACTAGAAGTCAATTTTAAGTTTCACTTTTTATCTTATTATACTTAACGTGACTTTGATATTTTGAAATGTTTTAGAAGATTTTACAAATGTACTGATGTGCAAGCAGAAAATAAAAGTTTGCAAATATTATGGTACCAAATTATTGTTCAAGAGGGACATGAATATGTTGAAGTTCATAGTTATATACATAAATCATTGAGGGGGATGAGTTTAAGCCTATAAGAGAGTCACCTCCGAGAGTAACCCAACCTTTATGATTAGAGATTCCATGAAAAAAGTTCAATGTAGTAGAAATGACCCGCACTACGTGACTTGTATAACAATATCTTATTTGTGCTCATCCCTATGGTGATATAATGCTAATAATAATGTAATGTTAGGAAGTGTTTAACTTTGAATGGGGGTTAAATTATGAATGAGTACCGAGACGAGAATTCTCGCGAGATGTGGATCACATACACCCTTGGAGGACTCACCTATGTAAGAGTTGCCATGAGATCATGACTATGAGATTGAGCTTTTCTCTAAAGATTCTTCATAGAATCAAGCTTAGAGCACCTGGCCATTAGCAGCGCTACCTACTATGAACTGAGTCTAAATCGATACTGTGTGTGGAATAATCGAAGTTTGGCCGAAGGCATCCAATTCAAAGCTTAGTCCATTATGATTCATTCAAATGAAAATTATTATCACTAAGTGGGGTTCAAGTCCAAAAGACACATACACATATTACACAGTATTATATTGCCACTTTTATATATATTTTAATTATTTTGAAAGTTTTAAAACTTGTAGGGGATTGTTGGAAAATAAGTTATAAAATTTTCAATAGAATCTTAAAAATTCAGTTTTCATTTTTTAATTTCAAGTTTTCCGTTTCAGTTTTCTTTTAATTTTGCAGTTTTTGTTTTAATTTTAGATTCAATACAAAAGATTAAAACCCATTATTTATTTATAACCTATGTTGAATTTTGCGTTGCTTGCTTTCCGAAATGCATATATGCAGCGTGTAAAATAAAAATATAAATTGGCAATGGACGTTAGCATGAGCTTCTGTCATATAAGTAGATTCCCAACAATTAGTTCATTGATATAACAAAGTGAGTTGACTGGTATTAAAATTGTGACGATTTGATTGAGACATTTTAAATTTGGCGAGTCTTTACATCCCTCAGAATCAAATCGCTGTCCTCATAATCGCAGTTGAATGTATGGACGAACAGCAAAACATTTTCTTCTTCCGTTCTTTTGATTCCTAAGACATGGAATTGGACTCCTTATAGGCGCAGTGTACAGACAACTCTTATTCCCTGGCCTGATAGGGCATATCACGCGATTTACCTCCCTCACAAAATTTTAGGGACGGGACGAGGCCTCAAAGTTGGGGTTCAACCTTTATTTTTCAAAAAAATTTCATTGCTGACTCAAAGAATCATAATTAAAATTTTCCAATGTCATTAGTTCATTGATATAACAAAGTGAGTTGACTGGTATTAAAATTGTGACGATTTGATTGAGACATTTTAAATTTGGCGAGTCTTTATATCCCTCAGAATCAAATCGCTGTCCTCATAATCGCAGTTGAATGTATGGACGAACAGCAAAACATTTTCTTCTTCCGTTCTTTTCGAAAGCACAGATTCCCCTCTGAGTAACAGACACGTCTGTGCCATTACATATACAGATAATTCCTGTGCTGCCGCGCGTTCCTATTCCTTTCACGCTCAGCATACACGAATTCAATTGTTACCAAAACCCCCATTTTGTCTTTCTTCCCATCTTTAAACCATTTCATTCCTAGACTAACCATAAGAGGAAAACTATACAGCTGCGTCCCTTTGACAATATGATAGAAAATAGAGGCCTGTCATGCCTAATTGTGGGTAATTATTGCCACGACGTTTTGATTAAAGACGGCACCGTGATAGGAAAGTCACTGGGTGGCGCCGCCTCCTTTATCTCCGGTGTCCTTGATGGGTTTTCCATCTCCTCCACTTACGTCTCTAAGGTGGGTATCGATTTTTCCTACCCTGTCATCCACCAGCCATTAATTTGTCCCTCATCAAAAACCACCATTTTTCATGCCCATTTTTCCTCTGAAATCAAGCGGAAGGATCGGGTCCTGAAACGGGTCTGTACCTGCGACCCGATAACTCCTGATGATCTCCCAAACTCACATTTCAGCTTCGGGTTGGCCGTCGGTGTGGGCGGGGAAATCTTGCCGGAAACATTAGAAAAAATGCTTGGTATTTGTGATATAGTATTTGTGGACATCCAGGCTTTGATTCGGGTTTTTGATTCGGTCGATGGAACTGTGATGCTTGTTGATTTGCGAGAAACCGGGTTCTATCGATTGCTCCCTCGGATCAGGTTCTTGAAAGCGTCGGCAGATGAGTCGCCTTACGTGGATATAGAGGAGGTGAGGAAGTATTGTTGCGTGGTGGTAACCAATGGGAAGGAAGGGTGCACGTTGTATGAGAAGGACAAGGCGCAGCAGATTGCTCCTTTTCCAACTGTTCAGGTTGATCCCACGGGCGCTGGCGATAGTTTCCTTGGAGGGCTTGCTGCGGGGCTTGTGCAGGGGTTGGGAGTGCCTGAGGCTGCATTGTTGGGGAACTTTTTGGGGTCGCTTACAGTTGGGGAAATCGGGCTCCCCAACTTCGATTTGAAGTTATTGCAGGTTAGTTGAGAAACTTGTGGTACTTCTTTCTATTATATGGAAAATATCGTTAATTGTGTTGGATTTGGAATCCCTTTTACTTGCACTGTGATCGAATTTGTTTCCCTGCTATAATTGGAATTTTTGCTTTTGAAACAACTAGCTTATATTCTTAGTATCATTGGATGTTTGTCGAAGCATTCGTTGGGCGTTAAGGAAGCATTTGTGAATGACAATGACTAAGCTAGGAATGGTAATACCAAAATCAAATGAGAAGGATAGGAGTCGTTAGTTGCATGTTAGCAACTAAAATGCTGTTCCATGGCAATTCGTTTTATATCCACTTGGAATGATAATGAAATTCTTTTCAGTTTTTATCTTCATCAATGTGATCACTTAACATTTAACAGGTGTCTATTGAGTACTGCGCTTATGTTTTTTCTGAAGTTATATTATCTTGCCAAGCACAACTTTGGGGAGTTGCACTGTATGTTCAACATTTTCATGCCATTTTAACTTTAAGAACTTGAAAGATTTTATCACTTGATGATGAGTGATGCACCTTGCTTTTATTTAGTAGAGATGATTTTACAGAAAAGTGGACAGGCACTTTATTGTTAGCAGGACAGCCCCACGGAGTGTCTTTGGAATGGACAAGAAAGATGTGGTTCGGCTTTATTTCAATATCAAGACGATTTAACAAGAGAAATTTTGATTCAAACCTAGGTTTTTATGTGATTCTTGTCATGGCCTCTAAGTCACATTACCATTTGTCTGATTGTGTTGTCTTTGTTTGTATGGGAACTTTTGTACGGTGATTGTGTGAATGGGAGGTTGGGGAGTCACCATGTGGGGATCGAAGAAATCCATGAGGTGGAAAGAATTTACCATAGCTACGAAATGTGGGAATCCAACTGATCATCTTTGGCATGCTATCCCATGATTTCTTGACACTGCTATTTGAAATCTTTATATATCACTTATACATTCTTTGATTTCGAATTCTAGAGAGTCAAGGATGAAGTGCAGCAGAGGCTGTTGCAATGCACTGGATGTCCTGAATCCGAAAATGGTGAATTGATGTTTATGAAGTCATTTGATCACGAGCAATTCCATGTAGCACTTGGTGCAGCTAAATTAACCTGCATTATTTGTGGACATCCAGGCTTTGATTCGGGTTTTTGATTCGGTCGATGGAACTGTGATGCTTGTTGATTTGCGAGAAACCGGGTTCTATCGATTGCTCCCTCGGATTAGGTTCTTGAAGGCGTCGGCAGATGAGGCGCCTTACGTGGATATAGAGGAGGTGAGGAAGTATTGTTGCGTGGTGGTAACCAATGGGAAGGAAGGGTGCACGTTGTATGAGAAGGACAAGGCGCAGCAGATTGCTCCTTTTCCAACTATTCAGGTTGATCCCACGGGTGCTGGCGATAGTTTCCTTGGAGGGCTTGTTGCGGGGCTTGTGCAGGGGTTGGGAGTGCCTGAGGCTGCATTGTTGGGGAACTTTTTGGGGTCGCTTACAGTTGGGGATATCGGGCTCCCCAAGTTCGATTTGAAGTTATTGCAGGTTAGTTGAGAAACTTGTCGTATTTCTTTCTATTACATGGAAAATATCGTTAATTGTGTTGGATCTGGAATCCCTTTTCACTTGCACTGCGATAGAACTTTTTCCCTGCTATAATTGGAATTTTTGCTTTTGAAACAACTAGCTTACGTTCTTAGTATCATTGGAAGTTTGTCGAATCATTTGTTGGGCATTAAGGAGGCTTTTCGGTGCTGGATGCTATGATTTAGTGTGAATGACAAAGGCTAAGCTAGGAATGGTGATACCAAAATCAAATGAAAAGGATAGGAGTCGGTAGTTGCATGTTAGCAACTAAAATGCTGTTCCATGGCAATTCGTTTTATATCCACTTGGAATGATAATGAAATTCTTTTCATTTTTTATCTTCATCAATGTGATCACTTAACATTTAACAGGTGTCTATTGAGTACTGCGCTTATGTTTTTTCTGAAGTTGTATTACCTTGCCAAGCACAAATTTGGGGGGTTGCACTGTATGTTTAACATTTTCATGCCATTTTAACTTTAAGAACTTGAAAGATTTTATCACTTGATTGTGCTTATGTTTTTTCTGAAGTTGTATTACCTTGCCAAGCACAAATTTGGGGAGTTGCACTGTATGTTTAACATTTTCATGCCATTTTAACTTTAAGAACTTGAAAGATTTTATCACTTGATGATGAGTGATACACCTTGCTTTTATTTAGTAGAGATGATTTTACAGAAAAGTGGACAGGCACTTTATTGTTAGCAGGACAGCCCCACGGAGTGTCTTTGGAATGGACAAGGAAGATGTGGTTCGGCTTTATTTCAATATCAAGACGATTTAACAAGAGAAATTTTGATTCAAACCTAGGTTTTTATGTGATCCTTGTCATGGCCTCTAAGTCACATTACCATTTTTCTGATTGTGTTGTCTTTGTTTGTATGGGAACTTTTGTACGGGGATTGTGTGAATGGGAGGCTGGGGAGTCACCATGTGGGGATCGAAGAAATCCATGAGGTGGAAAGAATTTACCATAGCTACGAAATGTGGGAATCCAACTGATCATCTTTGGCATGCTATCCCATGATTTCTTGACACTGCTATTTGAAATCTTTATATATTGCTTATACATTCTTTGATTTCGAATTCTAGAGAGTCAAGGATGAAGTGCAGCAGAGGCTGTTGCAATGCACTAGATGTCCTGAACCCGAAAATGGTGAATTGATGTTTATGAAGTCATTTGATCACGAGCAATTCCATGTAGCACTTGGTGCAGCTAAATTAACCTGCACTCATCCCATCCAAGAATGTCCTCGGGACTTGCCACGTTTGCATGCTGCAGAACAGTCTATCCACAGCCAGTGCAGCGGTCGACAAAAATCATTATCGAGCACCTTCTATGAAGAAGTGATTAAATCTTCGGATGATATACTTGGGCAAAATTGAAAACATCTCATCCATCCCTTCCTGAAAAGGGGAGAAAACAAGAAATAGGAGCCCGGAAGCCTTCCATTTTCCTTTGATTAAAATTAAAATAAAGCTAGATTTAAAATCGGAGTCTCTGCTGGTTGATATTCTGTACAACTTAGTTGAAAATACAATACAAGTTCTTAACAGTTTTGCAGCAGAGACTGCAAGTTTTGGCTGTAGGCTTGCATTTAGAGGGGACAATCTCATTTCTCTCAACTGAAATAATGGATGCGTTGCAATTTGCAAGAAAGAGTCAATGAGAAAATGATACGGTTCTGTTTTGTTGTTACCTTTTTTCATAGGTTATTATTATTGAGTTATTTTTTCTTATTTTTATAACTATATTAAGCTATTTTCCTTTTTTTAATAATATGTTAGGTTTTTCTAATTATTCATTCTCTGTAAATTAGATGTTTATGGTGTGTTTGAGCCCTTTTAATTTTTCAAAATGTATTATGGAATAGTAGATAGGTGGAAAATGTGTTTAAAAAAAATATAAATTGATTTGTGTGTAATATTATTTTAATGAAGAATGTATAATTGAAAATTGTTGGTTTCAGAATCGTATTCACAAAGATTTAACAATAACTTGCAGAAAAGTAAAGAGAACACAAAAGAATTTTCACCACAAGGCCTGGATGTTTAGGTTTTGAGCCTACTCACACGTTGAGTATCTAGAAGAAGATTACGCTCAATTTTATTAAGAAATCACCAAGAAATAGTATAAATATATGAAGAAATCTCTGATATTTATCTCGCCTCTCTTTCAATCACAAAGGGAAAGTAATCTACACAACCTTTTCTCACAGACCGTTTACCAAAAAAAATCTAAATCAACACTCAGAAGATTTATAGATAAAACTATCAGGACTACGGAAAGATAACAAGACGAGAAAACCTTAGAAGCTTCATACACTCAAAAAACTCAAACATCGTGTGGAAGAGGGAGGCTATACATATTCAGACATGGATAAAGCCATTTGTACATAGTTTTTCTTACATCATGTTTGACATTCCATTGATTTTCAAATTGAAATGGGCGGAAATGTGTGATGTGTTTGAAAATTGTCTAATAATGTCAAGACACGTGGTACAATCTAAAGAATGATGTAAAAATTAATGTACAATTAGCATGATCCATTCAAACATAACCACAGATGATCAAACTGCCACAATAATAGCAAATGAAGGGTTCGGATTAAACATAACAAAACAGCCAAATTCGTGTTACTAAAACACGTTTTGGAAACGGGTGATCAAGGCCCAAGTAAGAATGCTCCACTTTGGCCCAAGTAGAAATAACCGACAACAAAGGCTAGAGCCCAATGAATAGTGAAGCACCAGTCCAAGTCCAACAAAAATGAGTACTTTAGAAAAAAAAAAATGTGATAGAATGTAATATAATGAGTGACAAATAGGGGCTTTATTGGGGCAAAAATTATCTAAAAATGTTACTCTTTGTCATTAGTTGGCACATTTTGTCCTTTCCGTCTAAAAAATTCGACTAATGCCATGTAAAAAGATGAATTTATTCTTTAACTCAAATAAACCAAAGAAAAAGCAGAAAATGTTTCATCCGAAACTCAATTGCTAAACTAGAGAATTTATAAAAATAAAGTGCAAGCTCTAGAATTTTCCGCTTTCATTTATCAAGTTTAGGTGCATCAATTTACACTCTTACCTTGTCATTCGTTTGAGTTAACCTTAAACAATCATATATAATACGAACATGTGTTCCCGACAAAATTTGTCCACTGATCTCCAGAAATCTTCATCAAAGTAGGTCATATAACAATTTGTAACCTCTGACGATCCATTTGACATAATTTTTAAAAAGTCAAAAGTTGAATAATATTTTAGAAGTACTTTGTCTAGATATAAGAAATTTTAGAAAAAAATTGGTTTAAAGTAGCTTCTCATGAAACTCTTGTATGAAAAAGTAAAAATAAAAATAGAAATCCACCAAACAAGCACTAAAAGATATTGGGCCTTGAAAGTGATCTAATCTAAATATTACAAAGCGACTCCTTGAACAATTACCAGGCCATATCAGAAATCATCAAAATTAGCAAAATATTGTCACGCTTTTGTACTTTATGAACTCATCAAGAAAGTAGTTGTGGTCAAATCATCGGATGCCAAAAACTTAAATTATGTCTGATATTGAAGTCCCTTTAGTTTTAACTTTTTAACAAAATTAGCAAAATAGTCACGCTTTTGTACTTTATGAACTCATCAAGAAGTAGTTGTAGTCAAATCATCGGATGCCAAAAACTTAAATTATGTCTGATACTGAAGTCCCTTTAGTTTTAACTTTTTAAGGGCTCATTCTCCCATTAAGAAACCTGCCCGAGGACGTCCCCTTCTTAGTGGACAAATGCATAGAAAGGCTATTTTTATATTAAACGGCGAACATACTGAAAGCCTAAATTGGGCATTTCAGACCATCTTGCCAAGAAAATATGGTCGTCCCTGAGAGCCGCCATAATTTATTTGGAAAGTGCTAAATATACATACACTTATACAAAATAGTTTACTCACCCTCACAATGGGAGGGTGGGGGCCACATGTTGGTATTTTTTATTTCATGTGGAGCCCGAGTGTTTGTGAGAGTGAGTAAAATATTTTGTATAAATGTGTCTGTACAAATATCGTTATCCAATTTATAAACTTATGGGAAAGTTATACTTGTGTTCACATAAATTTCAACGAAATTTTAATGGGGTCGCCAAAATTTAATTTGTCTCAGTTGAGTAATTGAACTTCAACTTAGTTTCGATAGGGTTACTAAATTTCAATTTAGTTTAAAATTTCACCGTTCTATCACCTATCGCCTCTAAAATTGATGACAATTTCCTATTGGAGAGTCATTTTCCACGTATCTTCCACGTGATGGTTAAGTTACATACCAACTTACTATATCCCTTATTTTACTGTTTTTGCTTTTATACTACCACGTAACTATTACATAAATGATTTATTATAATATGACAAGAAAATTTTTGGTGGGACGCTGTTATTGTGCAATCATCAAATGCGGAGTCACCACCTCATCGGGTGGCCCATCCTCACCCCGATAAGATGAGGCCACCTCGGGACTTGAGACGTGCGACCATCCCACCAAAGTTTTTTGACTTGAGACGTGCGACCATCCCACCAAAGTTTTTTGACTTGAGACGTGCGACCATCCCACCAAAGTTTTTTGACTTGAGACGTGCGACCATCCCACCAAAGTTTTTTGACTTGAGACGTGCGACCATCCCACCAAAGTTTTTTGACTTGAGACGTGCGACCATCCCACCAAAGTTTTT